GCCAAGGCATCGAAATCAGATGGGCTGGATACGTAATGAGATTTGGAGATGACCACTGGATAGAGCCATTACCGACTGTATTCCACAGGTTGTCAAAAGATCGTGTGGCCGCCCACCTATGAGATGGTCAGACTTCTTCATTCAGACCCTGAATGATAGGTTTGAGGCTCTTTGTATTCCTAGAATGAGCAGATGCCATTGGGCTACACTTAGCACGCGACAGGGACAAATGGAGATGTTACTGGCGCCCGCTCAGCAAATTGATGAGTAAACGGGATGTCAAGTGATCAAGTGATGACCCCGCAATACCACTTCTGGGAATATATCCCGAGGATGAAAAAAAGCACAGTAGAAATGACATCTGTAGCACAGTAGAAATGACATCTGTACCTCTATGTTCATTGCAGCACTGCTCACAATAGCCAAAATCTGAAAACAACCCAAGTGCCCTAGAACAGATGACTGGTTCAAGAAACTTTGGTACAACTACACAATGGAATACTATGCAGATGTCAGGAGAGATAAAGTCATGAACTTTGCTTATAAATGGATACATAAATGGAGAGTATCATGCTAAGTGAAATGAGTCAGAAAGAGAGGGACAGTCATAGAAGGAGTGCACTCATTTGTGGAGTATAAAACAACATAACATGAGGCTAACACCTAAGAATAGTAGATATACGGGACAGATAGATTGCTCCACAGCTGGAAGCCTGCCTCATGAGCAAAGGGGAGAAGGCAGCTGGAACAGAGAAGGGATCACTAAGAAAAAGATGACTGGAGGAATTGGTCAGGATGGGAGATGTGTGCAGAAAGTAGATAAAGGAACAAACACGATAACCTCTCAGGGTCTGTATTGCAAACAATAATGCCCAAAAGTAGAGAGAGAGTATGGGGAATGGTGTCTGCCATGGAAGCAGGAAGAGGGTGGGAAAGGGGGTTATACCGGGGATATTGGTGGTGGAGAACGTGCACTGGTGGAGGGATGAGTGTTTTTTGATCATTGTATGATTGTAATCCAAACATGAAATCTTGTAACTATCTCACAGTAATTCAATAAAATTTTAAAAAAAGAAAGAAAAGAAACTTGGGGGCCATTTAGAAAATTTGTAGCCGGAATAAAGAGTGAATCAAAGACACTTGGCTAAATCACCATCTTAAATCTCATGTGGAACTCTTTCCTCTTTTCTGTTTCCTCAATATATACAATGACCCTATTTTTATTTCTGCTTTTTCTGGTCTATTTTTTCTTATATAATTAAAACAAATATTCCTCCATATTTTATAAACTATATGTATATTTTATGAGAGAGGAAATTCATAGTTACAAAATGTATTAACTTATCTTTAAAAAAAATAAAATCTAGCATATTCTTCCTTTCAAATCACAACTAGTTATATCCACAAACTTTTTTTCTTTAGGTATCATTATGAACCTATAAAAACTTGTAAAATTTCATTTATTTTAATTAACTATTATTATGATTGCTCATGTCACAACTAGCCAAATAAAAAGTCCCTTCAATTTACTCATATGTACTGTCTAAATGTTTTCTTATTTGCTGATGACAGCAATATATTTCTGCTTGAATATTAATTTTTCCTCCAACACAAAATCAACTAAACTCCAAAGAGCTTGATATTTTTCTTTATTCCTTTAAAAACTTTTAACGACTCCCCCCTTGAACTAGTCACAAATTTTTTTCATTATCTGGCCTCTGACCATTTTTGTCTCTTCAGTTTCTGCCACTCTCCCCACAAGCCACAATATCCTCTCACACCCAGATTTTTTTGTAAATTCCATACGCAAAAAGAGAAGCAACTGACCATAATTTCCTTCTTTCAGTACAGTAAACAACAAAAACAGAAATAAGTGTGTTCTTAGTATCGCTGGCCCCTGGCAATACCACACCTGGAGGATAGCTGATCTTCTAGAAATAATTTTTAATTAAAGGGAGAGTATATTTGTATGTTAAAGCAGATGGTAGAAATTAATTTATGAGGTGCATTGCAACAGTGGTTCAAAGAAAGAAAATGTTAATTACCCACATCAAAACAAAATTACAGAGGCATAAATTATTAGAGATAGCTGCAATGCAATGTGGAACTCTGCTCAGGAAAAGACACTGAAAGAGATGAGCTGTGGGAGAAAATGAAATCAGACAGTCTTCAGGCTAAAAACTATGGGGTCTTCTTAAAATGAGGATGTACAGTCCCCTCTAAACCCCGCCCCTGATTTCAGAATCCCTGACGGCCACATCCACGGCCCACAACCACCGCCATGTCCATTTATCAGCCCAGTTCTATAGACCTTAAAGCTCTGGACCAGAGCTGGACCAGTCACACTGACTCCTCCATATTCCACAATACTGAAATTCTGGTAGGAGCACACCAAATTAGATGGGAAAGTAACATAGAAGACAGCTAAACCCAGTAAATAAAAGCAATAGCACAGAAGGCTCAGCTACCAACAAACAGCTTAGTAACTCAAGAAGAGGAACTAACAACCCAGTAGTGAGATATAACAATTTTCACAAGTTTTTTTTTTTTTTAGCAAAGGTATTTTTGATCATTTCATTAGCCATTTAGTTGTAACAATTTGCTTGAGCAGGCCCAGTAACGTCTCCATTTTAAGACTTGTTACTATGTTTGGCATATTGAATATGTCATGGGTAGCTTGCCAGGCTTTGCCATGCAGGCGAGATACTCTCGGTAGCTTGCCGGGCTTTCCGAGAGGAGCGGAGGAATTGAACCCGGCTCGGATGGGCTGGCTGTGCGCAAGGCAAAATAAAGTTGATATTCTGTGCCTGCTAGGGGGACAGGCTTTGGGGGTGGTTGGGAAATGGGGACAATGGTGGAGGGAAGATCACTCACCAGTGGGACTGGTGTTGGAAGCAACTGTATTATGAACAATTTTGTAAACCACAGTGTCCACATAAAGTATTATTTTAAAAGTAAAGTCAGTTTGAAAAGAAAGAAAGAAAGAAAGAAAGAAAGAAAGAAAGAAAGAAAGGAAAGGAGGGAGGGAGGGAGGGAAGGAGGGAGGGAGGGAGGGAGGGAGGGAGGGAGGAGAAGAAAGAAAGAAAGAAAGAAAGAAAGAAAGAAAGAAAGAAAGAAAGAAAGAAAGAAAGAAAGAGAGAAAGGAGTCCAAAACATTGCAAAACCTAAATCATCAATAATATCTCTTTGCACACATTTTCTTACACCATCATGAGATTTTCTTGGAAGGACCTTCCCAAAGAAAGTTCATATGGGAATATGTAAGTTCATATTTGTCATCTTCTATAAGCTTGCAGACCCCTGCTGGGCAAGTGATGGACGAAGAAATTGTTCAAGGGAGATGAACAAAATCATAAAGTATCATAACAAAATACTATCATCTTGAAGAACTATTCCTCCTACAACAATAAGTGAAGCATCAACATTTTCAAATATATGTTAAAATATTATATTTTGGGGGCCAAAGCAATAAGTACAGTGGGTAGGGTGTTTGCCTTGCACGTAGCCAACCCGGGTTCCGTCCCCAGCATCCCATATGGTCCCCTGCCAGGAGTAATTCCTGAGTTCAGAACCAGGAGTAACCTCCAGCATCACCAGTGCGAACCAAAAAGTCAAAATAATACCGATGATGATGATGATGTTCTCTGTGGGAATGCAGAAAAAAACAGGCTGAGAAGCTGCAGCTTTGGCTTTAGATTTGTCTTTGGATTTAAGACTTATTTCTAAACCACAAATCACATATTAAAAATTATTACAATGCCATAAAATAATGATAGGCACAGTCAATTTTTAAATTTTTCAAGAGAGGCTCACTAACGCTAACAGGTGAGCAGCAGAGAAAAGACAGTCTCCCTTTGTAATGATGGAGCGAACTTGTGAAACTAGAACCCTCCCTCCCATCCCTTAGAGGAGGAGAGGACGCCGTCTAGTGTGAGGAGTCCACAAGGAAATACCTGTGGATTCCACCCTGATCGCGGCAAACCTGTAGAGTGACCCTGGTCCTACAAAGCACTGGGAGAGACCCCCCTAATACTACATCGGCAAGTGCAAAGGGTCTTCCGCTTCCATGCATCCTTCTCCCAAAGGCAAGACCCTCAGAGGAAGAAGCCTGGGCAGAAGGAAAAGCGGAACTTGGATAATTGTGGGGAGCCCCTTGAGCATCTGCTTCAGGCCCCACCCAGCGAAGGCAAGATCCTGCCCGCTCCAGCTGGCAGCAGCAAAGGGTCCCCACGAGATGGAGGACGAGGAGTAAATCCTTCAAGTCCAGAGTTCTTCTCTCTAACATGGAAGTGGGGAACTGGTGAAGGGTTGGTGTTGGAACACTGTATGCCTGAAACCCAATCATGAGTAACTTTGTAATTCATGATGATCATGGTCCCTTGTCACTTGTCACTTGTCATCTCGTTGCGCATCGATCTGCTCCAGTGGGTGCCATTAATTCATATAATTCAAGTGTAATTCATGGTAAATTATTTTTAAAAGGAGAGGGGGATGGTGGCAAAAGATTGGACAGAAATTTTATTAAGGAATATACTCTAATGGTATATTAAAAAATGAAAATCATTAGTCTCTAGGAAAATGTAAATTCAAAATTAGTCAGGTAATGCACACACGCATACACACACACACACACACACACACACTCACACACACACACACACACACACACACACACCAAAAATGGCTCAAGTTTACAGACTGGCAAATTTAAGTACTGGAATGGTGTGGAGCAACTGGTTACTCCTCATGCTTGCTTCTTGGAAAGCAAGATGATAAAATCACACTGAAAGTCAACCTAGAAGCTAATTATAAAATTTAAATGCACTGTCACAGGACTCAGCAACTCAACTCAAAAGTAAATGTTTAATAAAAAGAAACTAAAATACATGTGGAGACTTGCATAGAAAGGCTCATAGCAGATTTATTCATAATGATTAAAAACTGGGCCCGCCCAAGCAAATTGATGAAAAACGGGAGGACCGTGCTACTGTGCCGATTAAAAACTGGAGATATACCAACTAGCCATAGATGAATGAATGAATTGGGATGTATCAGTCCCACAGGATACGAATATGTTACAACAGGAAAGATGAGCTCAGAGGAAGAGCACTGTAGGGCTCTTGCCTCGAACGAGGCCAATCAGGTTCGATCCACGGCTTCCCATATGGTTCTCCACGACCCACCAGGACTCATCCCCGAGCACAGAACCAGGAATAAGCCCTGAAAGAAAAGAAGAGGGCGGAAATAACAATGAATACATGAAAAAAAACACAGGTGACTTTCACAATCATACTGATCAAAAGCAGCATATAAGTAATAGAAGAAATCCTCTACTACACAAAGCTATGGTGGCAGAAAGCATCACAGTTGTCTGGAGCCAGGTTAGTGAGAGGAGCAGAAAGAAACGTCAGGGACTGCTGGGGACGTCCTAGATTTCGATATGATGGTGCTTTTAATAGGTGACTACGTTTGTGAAAAACGCTTACAACCTTAAGAATTAAGTGGGATACATTTTTTTGCATCCAAAGTATAACTCTATAAGGTTGGGCTTTTTTCTTTTTGTTGTTTGGGTTTGGAAGATATAAAGATTTGAGGCTATAGGCCCTGGATATACTCAGAGCTTACTCCTGGCTCTTAGCTGAGGGATCACTCCTGATGGTGGTCAGGAGACCATATGTGGATGTGGTGATTGAACTGCGGTTCACAGTGTGAACCTTTACTCCACCCCTCTCTCTTTCCTTCTCCCTCTCTTCCTCTTCATCTCCCTCTCTCCCTCTCCCTCTCCCTCTCCCTTTCCCTTTCCCTCTCTCTCTTCCTCCCCTTTTCCCTCTCCCTCTCCCTCTCTCTGTCTCTCTGTCTCTGTCTGTCTCTCTCTGTTTATTCTCTCTCTCTTTCTCTCTCTCAAGAAAAAAAACCTAAATGAGGGGTTGAAAAAATAGTACAGTGGGTAGGGCGCTTGTCTTGCATGCAGCAGATCTAGGTTCCCTGGCATCCCATATGGTCCCCTGAGCTCACCATGAGTGTTCCTGAGCTCAGAGCCAAGTGTAATCCCTGAGCATAGCCAGGTGTGACCCCAGAATAAAACAAAATAAACAAACAACAAAAAAAATAAATAAAACACCTGAATTGTAGTCCAACATTAATGGACATTAAAGAGACCTCACCTAACCACATGCTCCTGAACATGGTGGGAAAATACCTATAAATGACATGATTGATACAGTTGATAACATTTGACTATGGACTAAAAATGAGATTACTGTACCAATTTGGTCCTAGTTCTTTTAATTTCTATCATTGTGCTATGGCTATGCAAGACAAAGTCTTGTTACAATTAGAAAAAAAAACTGAACATAATGGTCCAAATTATTGGAAGGTATCACCAAAGGAAGAGGGATATGATAAAGCACAAATAGAACAAAACACAAATATATGGTAGTTTTGGGAACAGGTTATACAAGAGAGTTTCCCTATTATTGTGTTTCAACTATTCAGCAAATTTGTTATTATAGCAAAACAGATTTTCACCCGGCAGTGCTCAGGGACTATTTCCAGCTCTGTACTCAGGGATCGTGAACCAGGGAGAATGGGACTGAGATTACCTATATGCAAGGCAAGCACCTTAATCCCTGCAACATCTTTCCAGCACTGAAAACATTTTGTTTTAAAGATGTCAGCTTCAGATGGGAAGAACGGATAACTCTGTTTAGTTCTTAATTTTACTAATTGAATTGAAATGATTTCTCCTATTAACCAGGAAAAGATCCAGGTATTTGATCAGAATTCTCAGTATTTCTGTGGATGGTTCCAGGAAAGATAAAGAATCATTCTTCTGGGGATGCAGTGATAGCACAGTGGGTAGGGCATTTGCCTTGCACATGGCTGACCCAGGTTCAATTCCCAGCATCCCATATGGTCCCCCGAGCACCGCCTGGAGTAATTCCTGAGTGCAGAGCCAGAAGTAACCCCTGAGCAACACTGGGTGTGACCCAAAAAGAAAAGAAAAGAATAATTCTTCCTGTTCATTCAAAAGTGGGATGAACTGCTCTGCAAAGTGAAAATCTCTTATTACTCCCAAGATCATAGAAAACATTTGTTCTTCTTAAATTCTGATCTAGAAAACATTTTCTTCCTCTTGGGACTCTTCACTGTTTCCACAATGGACAAGGTCCTGCAGTGAAAAACATTTATTTGCAAGTGACTAAAAATTATTACAGAAAACGAACAAAGATGAAATTCCATTTTCACCTGTCCTTAACTACCAATGCGGATGAAACGTAATTCTCTTCTCACAGACACAATTGTAGGAACTAAAGCAGTCCATAGTTTCTAGTCTTGTTGCAGTTACACAGGCACATTTTCCTCCCGAAGGCAGTGATGTCTTGCCATCTGAATCACTGTAGAAGACAAACATGGTCAAATGTTTAATTCTGGGTCTTGCAATAATATACATGATAACATTTTAAATATGTTGCCTAAACTTCTGGAACATGGAAATAGTAATCATAACCTCATTCCCAAAATATTTTTCTTTCACTCATCTCTTGAAACAGAATCAGGGCTTCTTAACCACACCAATGATCTTCCATATCATTTCACACTGAGAGTTTTGGGCCAGAAAGCAAAATTACTTTGCAACATTGTTGCAAGTTCATAATATAGAAAAACTTCTAATATTATTCTGTATAATAAAAGAGATATTGAAAAAGGAGAACTGAATGTCTGAGAAAGACACCAGGCTGTTGTGCATATTCTTGAGAAAAGAAAAGTAGGACTGGATTAATTTTTTTAATTACTTTTTTTTACCTGCTGTACCCTGTAGCTAATAAGTTACTAAGACATGGTTTCTGTTGAAATTTTTCTAATAGAATAGCTCTATTTCAGCAAAGTAGTAGTTTTGACCCAATCTTCCCATTGAAAACAACTTAAAGTGCTAAATTAAAAAAAGAAAATTTAGGTGCTGGAGCAATAGCACAGTGGGTAGGGCGTTTGCCTTGCACATGGCCAACCCGGGTTTCAATTCCCAGCATGCTAGATGATCCGCTGAGCACCGCCAGGAGTAATTTCTGACTGCAGAGCCAGAAGTAACCCCTGTGCATTGCCAGGTGTGACCCCAAAAAGAAAAAATAAATAAAATAAAATTTAAATATTCTTATAAGCTTATGACTATAAAGAAGTTGATATATATGTTTAGGCCAAAGATTAAGTAAAGATGGGGAAATAAATAAAGGGAAATTAAAGCAGTAAAGTTAGTTTTTTCCTAGATGGGTGCAACAGGATTAAACAGTAAATTCCACCCAAAATGGAGAGTCCACATAGATCATAAGCATAAACCACCCCTTGAAGTCTTGAACCTTGGATCTAAGCAGAAAGAAAGAAAGAAAGAAAGAAAGAAAGAAAGAAAGAAAGAAAGAAAGAAAGAAGGGAGGGAGGGAGGGAGGGAGGGAGGGAGGGAGGGAGGGAAGAAAGAAAGAAAGAAAGAAAGAAAGAAAGAAAGAAAGAAAGAAAGAAAGAAAGAAAGAAAGAAAGAAAGAACAGCCTCTACTAAGAATTCAAAAACACAAAGGCATCCTTTGCTTAATCTTGCATTTTCTGTGTTGTTTAAGAATATTCAAATCTGCTACAGGAAAAGGGGTTAAAAAAATGAAATTAAGCAGTTTGTGAGTCACTGGCTGCTGTCAGGGAGCTAAAATGTGTTAAATATGGATCCATCAATTAGTAACCAATGACAATGACATGACAATGACTTGTGTTGGATGAAAGTACACTAAGCAGAGCATGTGTGTGCTGGATAGGAAAGGAAGAAAGAACCAAGCAAATACTAAGCATCATATATGAGAGGTGATTGATGGAGGGAGATACTAAATATCCTTGAGGTCTACGCAGTGGTGATAATCATTCAACAGAAGAATCACAAATAAGAGCCATAGCTGTTTGTCAGTTTAATTGGAAAAGTGAAGTTTACCTACTCCACATTTCCCAACAGAGAAAATGGGTGTACTGGGCACTGGAACTATCTGTCTGTTGGGCCCCTTACTCGGTGGATACTAAGAACCACACCATCATCAGAGATGACGGGTTATGAGGCAGATGTAACCAAATAACCCAGGACGCAGGTGCTCCCTTTACAACTTGCCCCGTACGAAATTATGACAACATATTCTGTCCCATCCAAGAGGGATAAGTTATCCCATTAATTTCCCCTGGCATCATGCTACATATTTTAATTTTATCTTATAACCATTCAATTTGATCATCTTAATTTTCTTTCTTTTCATGACCTCTGAGCTAGTTTGTGTAGGGGTGCACGAGACATGTCAGGGTAATTTCCTGCATGACATCTTATGTAGCTTAGGTGACCAGAACTTCACTGCCTGCAGACACAAACTTTCAATAAATATGGTCCTATTCACAGTGCCCTGTGGCATCCAACTAAAGTAAATTCTTTCCTAAAGGAAGCACCTGAATCTCAGTCCTTGAATAATTTCCACAACAGCTCAGAGAGAAAAAGAAAAAGAGTTTACACAATGCTACAAATAAAATGACTTCATGAACAAAACTCATCAGAAATCACACTTAAGCCCACAAATATTCAAAGATTAGAAAATTATCATATATAAAATATATTTTAAGATATTTCAAAAAATAAAAGACATCTTGAAAACAGAACTATCAAGAACATTTAAAAGTGTAAAATAGAATTCCTAGAAATAAAAATACAACACTTACATTTTTGTAGTCATTAAACAGTGTAACAGCAGATTAAGATTAAATGTGCAGGGGCTGGACCAATAGCACAGCAGTTAGGGCATTTGCCCTGAACATGGCCAACCCGGGTTTGATTCCCAGCATCCCATATGGTCCCCTGAGCATCGCCAGGGGTGGTTCCTGAGTGCAGAGCCAGGAATAGCCCCTGTGCATTGCCAGGTGTAACCCCCCCCCAAAAAAAAGATTAAATGTGGATCCATGAATCTATAAAAATATAATACTTTGGGGCTGTATTTTATACAGAGAGAGTACTGCTGGCAAGGTGATCGCCTTGCATGTGGCTGACCTGTGTTGGATCCCTGAGCCCTGCCAGGATTGAACCCTGAGTGCAGGGCCAAGAGTAAGCCCTACGTTCTGCTGGGTGTGGCCAAAAACCATAATAAAAATATACAAAAAAGAAAAAAACTTCCCTTCAAAACATAAAGACTATCATGAAAGTATGCCTGTGTGTACACTTAGATCTATATTTATAAATAATATATACTGATTTTATAAAGAAGTGTCAAATGACTTTTCAAACATTCAGAATACTCATTTGGAGAAGGAATCACTAAAACTAGGTCAGAATAGCCCAATCATTTTCCTATCACTTCTGTTCATGACTGTTTGACACATACTTCTGAACAAGTGCTTAACATTATAAGTTTATTACTAATAACTATATACTTAACTTCCTTCTTGACTATTACGCGTTTTTTGCTTTTCACTAAAATTATAATTTTTATTGTAATCAATCAAATGTATTGAAGGGATTAAAACAAACATTAATAGTAATATGAATAACAGGTATCATGCTCCCTAAGTATGAATAACATGATTAGATTTCTATTAGAAACATAAATATCATTATCATGTTTTATTCAGATTAGAAAGTATTGTACTTTCTAAATATGAATAAAACACTTTTTTATTCATTGCTCTTATTCTTTTTTAATATTTTAATTAAATCACCATGAAATACACAGTTAAAAAGCTGTTTGTGATCAGGTTTCAGTCATACAATGGTCCAACACCTATCCCTCCACCAGTGTACATTTCCTAACACAAATGTCCCCAATATCCTTCCTACCACCAACCCCCACACACACAAACACACGTACACACACACAAGCCTGCCTCTATGGCAAGCACTTTTCTTGAGAGATTATCATGTTTGGTTCATTGCGATTTCTCTTACCAATACTTTTCTTGAAAATTATTCAAGCTATGACTGCTCTCACTTGTGGAATATAAAATAACATAATATGAACTGACACCCAAGGATAGTAGAGACAAGGGCCAGAAATATTGTTCCATAGTTGAAAGCCTGCTTCGTGAGCTGAGGGAGAAGGTAGCTGAAATAGAGAATGGATCATTAAGTCAATGATGGTTGGAAGGGTCATTCAGGATGGGAGATATGTGCTGAAAGTAGATAAAGGACCAAATGTGATAGCCTCTCAGTATCTATATTGCAAACCATAATATCTAAAAGTAGAGAGAAAGAGGGAAATTGTCTGCCATAGTGGCAGGGGAGGGTTGGGGCGACGGTGGGAGATGGTTGGGGGTATACTGGGGACATTGGTGATGGAAGGTGTGAACTGGTGGAAGGGTAAGTGTTCAATCATTGCATGACTAAAACTCAAACATGAAAGCTTTATAACTGTTTTCACAGTGATTCAATTTAAAAAAAATAGAAAATGATTCAAATTGCGAAAAAAAATTCTTTTTAGCTACAATCCTTCCACCACCAATACCAATGTTAAGAGGTTCACTGAAGTCCAGAGACTTACATTCCAGAATAATCAGTGTTGTCAAACCACTTCCATTTATTTTTCCTATCATCATATGTTAATCCAATCCAGTAGTACTCTGTAAATACCTGGGCTTGAATAAACCTCTGTAAAAGAAACAAAATGTATGACTGAAATACTATATAATAAATGAAAGAGAGGTAAGGGGCCAGCAGTCTCTACGGCTCTCTGCACCACCCTTTATCCCTCCTCTACAAAATCCTCTCTCCCTAAACTCCTGCATCTTTAATCCTAAAGCAATTTCCTCTTACATTTTGTGCATTAAAAATTGCTACAGTCTCATAGATGATCTAAAACAGAATGATTTTAAAGCCCAAATACCTAAAGACAGATTGGTAAAATAAATTGATACTATGAAAGCATTCCAAACCAAGCACAGAAAAATATTTTAAAAATGTAGAAATATGATCATTCCATATTATTTGTGATTGTAGTCATGTATTGGTAGTATTGCTAAGTTCTATTTCTGTCTCTATGTTAAAGATTCTGGCAAGTGAGGTACACAAGAAAATACATTCTCTAATGATAAGCGGGAGAGACGGACAACACCAGATTGAAGTTAATTCATTTAAAAAACTCAATTTCAATTATTTTAAATTTAATTTATGGAAGATTTATGGGGGGTTGGGGTTTGGGGGGGTTGTTTTTGTTTTTGTTTTATTTTTGATTGTTTATTTTTGGGACCACACCTAGTGGCACTCTGGACTTGACTCACGGCTCTGCACTCAGGGATCACTCCTGGTGGGACTACAGGAACCTTATGTGTTGTTGAGAGATTAAACCTGTGTTAGCCTCATGCAAGTAAGCACCCTAACCTCGTACTCTCCCAAGTCCATTTATTTATGGTTTTACTCACAATTATAGATGTTTTATTTTTATGAGAAAAAATATTTTATGTAGGAGTATTGTTATTTACTGTGTTTGGCATATCGAATACGTCACGGGGAGCTTGCCAGGCTCTCCGAGAGGGGCGGAGGAATCGAACTCGGGTCGGCCATGTTGGTCGCTTGTAAGGCGAACACCGTACCGCTATGCTATCGCTCCAGCGGGTAGGGCGTCTGCCTTGCACGCAGCCAACATGGCCGACCCGAGTTCGATTCCTCCGCCCCTCTCGGAGAGCCTGGCAAGCTACCGAGAGTATTCGATATGCCAGACACAGTAACAACAAAGTCTCCAATGGAGACGTTACTGGGCCCGCTCGAGCAAATCGACGATCAACGGGAGGGCCTTTACTTTACTTTTACTTATTGTTATTTATTCAGCCATTGATTAGGCTGACTGAATTGGGCATGAACTCCACCTTACTTTTTTTTCCTTTTTTATAATTTTATTTATTGAATGACTGTGAGAGCATTTACAAAGCTTTCGGGTTTAAGTCTCGGTCATACAATGAAACATCCGTACCTTCACCAGTGCCCATTTTCCACCACCAAAAAACCCAGTATACCCCCATCCCACACTCTCCCCCCTCAGAAAATCTTTTGAAACAAATTTTTTAGAATAGCAGGTGTTTATGGGAACTGTGCATTGAGACCAGTCTTAAAAGTTCAGTAGTTTAAAGGAATAAAGATAAAATTAGTTAATGCTGTGATTTAAAAGTTATAATAGTTACATAGAATGCTTGCATCCCATAGAGCCCCCATGAGTACCACCAAGAGTAGTTCCTGAGTATCGAGCCAGGAGACTGCACTATTCTCTTCCGGGAGCTGGGTTTTATAGTCTCTGAGTCTTGGCCGTTGATGGGATTACACGGCACCAGGGGGCCAGTTGGTGGGTATGACCCCTGCCTACTGGAATTTGGAGGATCTGCGTGGATGAATTATATTTTCCCTGAGGATCACTTGGTGTGACCGCAAAACCAAAAAACAATTGAAAAGAAAAAGAAAAACTTTAAAGGTAATTTGGGGCCCCAGAGAGATAGTACAGCAGGGAGGGCATTTGTCTTGCATGTGGCTGACTGGGGTTTGATCCCCAGCATCCCATATGGTCCCCTGATCAATGCCAGAAGTGATTCCTGAGTGCAGAACCAGGATTAATCCCTCAGTATTGCTGGATGTGACCCCCAAAAGCCAAAAAGGAGGTGATTTTTCCATATTGTTGTGACTATTCAGAACTTTTTAAATACATATATTTTGAAAAATAAAATAGAATGTTTATATTTTATTTATAATATTGATGAAAATGAATAACATCTTCAGAGGCAATAAAAATCATTATAAAGCTAATATGTAAAGTACATCACTTGTGTGGTCATAGTTACAATAACCATTTAGCAGATGACAAAAACAGACCCTGAAAGGTCAGTAATTTACCCACGAGCACTCAGCCACTTTGTGGCAGAGTTGGACTTGATTCCAGACAAGTAAATCCTGAATTCCTCACAGTGACTCCTAGATATGTAGACACTGGAATTTTATTTGCCTCCTTACCGGATAGGTAAGAACTAGAAATGCCAGTTCTGGGCTGCAATTTACCAGAAACTTAATTAATTGCTTCATCAAAAGAAAGGGAAATTTTCCTGTGACTGCTTCTCCTCCTTAGATGCATGACTGCAAGACCCAAACTGTATCTCCAAGGTTTCCATTTTGGAAATAATCATTATCATGATGGGCTGGAGCGATAGCATAGCGGTACGGTGTTCGCCTTACAAGCGACCAACATGGCTGACCCGAGTTCGATTCCTCCGCCCCTCTCGGAGAGCCTGGCAAGCTCCCCGTGACGTATTCGATATGCCAAACACAGTAACAACAAAAGTCTCCAGTGGAGACGTAACTGGGCCCGCTCGAGCAAATCGATGATCAACGGGAGGGCCTTTACCTTTACCTTTACCATTATCATGATAGATTATGTATTTTTTTATGCTTATTAAGTAGTAAGATCGTGTGCCTATACGCAGACCAGGGAGACTTTGGGAGACTCAGAACTATACAAATTTTGATTGCTCAACAGCCATCATATAAAGGATCACTGATGATCTGTCTCTCTACTACCCCCTGCTCCCATTCCCAATATCTCAGGTCCAAGGGAGAGAACACAGGATAGAAGGGGATAAAGTGAAAGTAAAAGCAAGTGATACCAGTTCGTCTTCACCAGCTATCTTCAAAGGAAATGAATTATATTTTCTACAAATCTCTTCACATCTTCTCCACTTTTCACGTTCTTTGCTGAAATAATAGCACTTCTCACCACAACAAGACCAGAATTCATTTCTGGGTTTGTCTAAAATATATAAAATAAACCATTCTTATCATCTTATATTGTATGAAACAAAGTAATACATTTATTATCCTCCAAAACAAAATAAAATAATAATAGTTATCTATAATGACAGTAGGAAGTCCATCAAGATTCTGGGATGCCAAAGTATTTATACGCTAATACTGACTGTAGTATCTATTTTATAAAAGTGAAAATATAGAAACAACCCAAGTGTGCATCAACAAATGACTGGATTTTTAAAATGTGCCAGATACATATTAAAAAAATTATCTAGTCTTAATACTTCCAGCTCCCGAAACCACACGGCCGCATTCGCGGTCTTGCAACATCTTATTATCTCATTCCTACTTTGGACAAACTGGCAGGCTACCGAATGTAACCTGCCCACACGGCAGAGTCTGGCAAACTCCCTGTGGCGTACCCAACATGCCAAATACCAGTAACAATGATGGGTCTCATTCTCCTAACCCTGAAAGAGCCTTGAATTTGGCACTTTTTAAAAAATCTCAGGGCTAGGATGAAGGAGACATTACTGGGGCCTGCTCAAGGCAACCGACGAACAATAGGATGGTCGTGATGATGATCGAATATTTCCAGGTTTAATAAGTTAAATACCAGAAATCCAAAATCGCTTGGCCGCTATCGCGGCCGTGCGACATCATTTGGTTCTTGTAACCAGCTGTAGAAAACAAATTATTTCACAATGCCTTTTCAGCAGGTCTGATTTGGGGGTGTAAACTCTAAATAATAATGGTGCATCTTATGTCGAAACAATGAATCTAATCAAAGTAGATAGAGTGTTAACTAGAATTCATCTGCCTCACAAGCATTGGGAGGGTTGGGAGGGGGTATGTTGGGATTCTTGGTGGTGAAAAATGGTTGCTGGTGAAGGGAAATGTGTTTGATGATTACATGACCGAGACTTAAACCTGAAAGCTTTGTAACTTTTCCCACAGTGATTCAATAAAAAAAAATTTATCTAGTCTTACAAAGAAAAAAAATCTTGCCATATGCAAAAGTCAGTGAATTTTGAGCTTACAAAGCTAAGGGAAATGTTAGTCACAGGAGAATTTAAAAATACATGATCCCATTTCTAAGGAAAACAATGTTTTTAGTAAGGAAACTTAGAGAAACAGAAGGCAGAACAGCAGCTGCCAAAGAGTTGGTGCTAGTGGTGATTGTCCAATTTTACTTGTGCAAAATTAATGAGTCTGGTGCTGGGCAACCTGCACAAAGAATTGATCTCACATGGTGCTCTTAACACACACACACACACACACACACACACACACACACACACACAAACATACACACGCGCGTGCGTGCAGTGGAAGATAGATAGAGATAGAGAGAGAGAGAGAGAGAGAGAGAGAGAGAGAGAGAGAGAGAAGGAAGACAAACACTGCATGATTTCACTAATACATGATATATAGAGGAAACAAACAGATTCACTACATTAGACAAGACAAACTCTATAGACTATAAAACTGATTAGCTGTTACAAGAAGGAATGAAGGAGAGGATAATAGGTAAATCAGGAAAGAGGAGGAAAAGGAATGAAGTACAGAATTTTGGACTTTCAGTGGGAAATTTAATGTAGTATACACAAGTATTGATTTGTAATGACAGTCACCTGAAGTATATGCTACAATGCAACATTATTTCAATAAAAAGTAAAAAATAAGGGGACCAGGCAAACAGTACAGTGAATAGGGCATTTGCCTTGCATGCAGTTGACCCAGATTCAATCCCCAACATTCCAGATGGTCCCCTAGCTCACCAGGAGCAATCCCTTAGTGCAGAGCCAAGATTAAACTCTGAGCACTGCCAGGTATGGCCCCAACCTAAAAAAGTTAAAACTAAGAAATGAAGAAACTTTAGGAGTTGGTAAATATGTCTACTACCCTAATTATGGATAACATTAAGAATATATACATATGTCAAAAGAGTTTTTTATATTAATATCTCAATGGTGGTATTTTTCAATATAATAAAATAAAAAATTTTAAATGATTCTAAAATACCTCTCAAATGAATACTGCTCTTCAGAAATGTTTCTCTTCCTAACATATTTTTATAAATACCAAGTTGTTAAAATATTATTCATTCTTAGTAATAAAGATAGTAAAGATCTACTTCCTTACCTTACTGATATTACACATGAAAAATCCTTCTGGAAAAACTAATATGTAAATAAGCCTAAATAAGTCAACAATAATACTAAATAAGGCAATATTTAGTAATTGTTAATCATCCAGGTCAATTGATTCCATTTTTATACATGACAAGATAGTTTACTGCACGAGATTTAGTATTCTTATACCTTAGATTTTGTTTTGTTTTGGGGCCACACCTGAAAGTGTTCACTCCAGGCTCTGAGCTCAAGGATCATTCCTAGTGGTGCTCAAGGGACCATATGGAGTACTAGGGATTGAACCCAGGTCAGCCATGAGCAAGGCAAGCATCCCCACCCCGTTATAGTACCTCCCCAGACTACATCTTAGATATTTTTAATGGTGTCCCCTCAAGGAGTCAGAGAAACATCAACACTGTGGCAAATCTTGCACAAACATTGGAGGTAATATATATTGTTCACACAGATCTCAAATATCTGAAAGTCTAAATGGAAATACACGCAATTATCTTTGAATACAGCAACCAATGAAAGCTTGTTTCCATTTTAGCCTCCATATATTTTTACTCAGAGTTTCCATATTTTGTGTCAGAACAAAGTGGAAGTTTCTAATTTTCCCACAGCACCAAAATGGCCCAGACTTTCAAGAGACCTGGCACATTCTTTCACCTTCTGGAGGTAAAGTAAGGCAAGAACTGCCAACGGGAAATCATGGCTCCTGGACTCTCACCTCTGCTTGAAACAAGCAAACCCAAATATCCTCATTACATTTAAGAGACACATACATACTCAGAGTTGTCTAGAAGAGATAGACCGCTAGGACATCTCATAATCCTGTCTATGAGGCTTCAAAGCTTTTGCAGAAGGAACAAATAATCAAACATCATGTAATCATTCATTCATTCAAGATTTTCTCCATACCTTTATTTTGTGAAGTCATTGAAATATTCTTTCTCTGACATATATTTTTTTCATGAATATAATTATATTTGCCTGAGTTCAGTTCTTTTTTCTGCTGCAGGGTTTCATTTTTGAGAAGATCATATTCTAAAGTCTTATTTGTCAAAAGCTGCTCCTTCACATAGCTGTCATTTTTTATCATGTCGCACTTGATACTAAGGCTTTGGAGAATTTCCTCCAGTTGATGTCTTTCTTGAACATGCTGAAAAACTACAATCAATTGTATGGGTATAATAGTTTAAAATGTTTATTGCAACACTATCCACCATTTGCTCGAGCGGGCCCAGTAATGTCTCCATTGGAGACTTTGTTGTTACTGTGTTTGGCACATCGAATATGTCACGGGGAGCTTGCCAGGCCCTGCCGTGCGGGCGAGATACTCTGGGTAGCTTGCCGGGCTCTCCGAGAGGGGCAGAGGAATCGAACTCGGGTCGGCCATGTTGGCTGCGTGCAAGGCAAACGCCCTACCGCTGTGCTATCGCTCCAGCCCATAGCCAAAATCTGGAAACAACCTGAGTGCCCAAGAACACACGAGTAGATAAAGAAACTATGGCATATCTACACAATGGAATACCATGCAGCTGTTAGGAAAAATAAAGTCATGAAATTTGTCTATAAATGGATGGATGTGGAGAGGATCTTGCTGAGTGAAATGGGTCAAAAAGGAGAGGGACAGGTATAGAATGACTGCATTCATTTGTGGTATACAAATATACATATATATACATATATACATATATATATAGTCTGGCATATCGACTATATATATATATGTATATATATGTATATATATGTATATTTGCCAGACACAGTAACAACAAAGTCTCCAATGGAGACGTTACTGGGCCCGCTCGAGCAAATCGACGATCAACGGGAGGGCTCGAGCAATATATATATAGTAGAAGACTAAGAACCATGGCCAGAGAAAACAGGGGCTAGGAGTACTGGTCAGTGGTTGAAACTAACCACAAATGTGTGGGGGGCTGAGGGTAGATATTATAGAGAAGAGACTGGTATGACAATAATAGCTGAGAATGATCATGCTGGACAAGAGCTGAGTGTTAAAAGTAGGAAAATGGATATTCTTTAACTGAAAGAATAACCTTTCGGTATCAATACTGCAAACTATAATGCCCAAAAGGAGAGAGAGAGCAAAGAGAGAAAGATGGAGAAATAGAGAAGAAAAGTACTGATGAGAGGGGACCTGGGGACACTGGTGCTGGGAAATGTACACTGGTGGAGGGATGGGTGTTGGAACACTGTTTGACTAAAATCTAATCATGAACAGCTTTGTAAGGGTCTATCTCATGGCGATTCATAAAAAAAGCAAAAAAAAAAAAAAAAACAAAACCCTAAGCTTATATGTTGACGATCAAGACAAGTAAAAGTATAACCAAGACTACCAACACATATCATTACTTTAATCAGCAATTTGACATTTAGAAAGTAACACTTCAGTAAACAGAGAAGTGGAAACCAAATGTCTCACTATTGTCAACTTGAGTGTAAGACAGGCAAAATAGATATCAGAATAAAGCCATGATGGTAGCATTTTATCATTCCATTTAGTGGTTATTTATAACAGTTGTAGCACAAATAGGTACCATAGTAAAAGTCAATTATACAACATATTTTTCGAAGTTCAAATATGCACTGAGGAACAAGAAGAACTAGCACGATTGTTATAAGAGCAGATGGAATAGTGATACAAAAAAAATAGAAGGAAATCCAAGTATATTATTTTGTACAAGTGACTTTAATTTAGTGATTCTCTAAAGATGTTCAAGGAATTTAAATAAAATCTAAAGGCCAATGGGGCCAGAGGGATAGTACAGCAGGCAGGGCCTTTACTTGCACACAGCTGACTTGGGTTCAATTCCCAGCACCCAATATGGTTCCCTGCATCTGTCAGAAATGATCCCTGAGCCTTGACTATAGAGCCAAGAGTGAGTCCTGAGCATCTCGGAGTAAGCCTCTCAAAAGAAAGAAAGAGTGGGAGGAAGGAAGGAAGGAAGGAAGGAAGGGAGGGAGGGAGGGAGGGAGGGAGGGAGGGAGGGAGGAAGGAAGGAAGGAAGGAAGGAAGGAAGGAAGGAAGGAAGGAAGGAAGGAAGGAAGGAAGGAAGGAAAGAAGGAAGGAGAAGGGAGGAAGGAAGGAAGTAAGGAAGGGAGGAAGGAAGGAAGGAAGGAAGGAAGGAAGGAAGGAAGGAAGGAAGGAGGAAAGGAAGGAAGGAAGAAGGAAAGGAAAGGAAAGGAAAGGAAAGGAAAGGAAAGGAAAGGAAAGGAAAGGAAAGGAAAGGAAAGGAAAGGAAAGGAAAGGAAATAAAGGCTGAATTTGGGCCAGAGCGACAGTAACATGGGTAGGGAGTTTGCCTGACACATGAGCAGCCCTCGTTAGATCCCTGGCACCCAGTATGGTCCCTGGAGCATCACCAGAAGTGATCCTTGAGCACAAAGCCAGGAGTAAGCCCTGTGCACTGCAAGGTGTGACCACAAATCAAAAATAAATAAAAATGAAAAGTAAAGGCTGAATGTAAGGTCACCTAACATTTATGTATAGAATCACTTGTATCTACTAAATCATTTCTCATTCTGTACTTATGAAAAAAATGAAGCACCGGTCATAATTTCACTTGAACAGCTGTATTTCAAAGAAGGTTCACCTATGATTCACAATGGCTTTAATCTATAAGGTAGAATATTCCTAAGTCGTGTATCATAAGGAATGTGTTGCATGTTACTCACCCTTTAGCCCCAAGACTATGACTGTCACCAACAGAAGCAAACAGAGGATCCCGAGAGACGCTGCAAGGAGGTGCCAGGGCAAAGAAAACCCTTTAAATAAAGAAAGAAGAAAATAAGAGAGTCTAAAAGAGCCTAGTTTTACTCTGGGACACCATTTGGGATGCATGTGTATATGTGTGTGTGTGTGTGTGTGTGTGTGTGTGTGTGTGTGTGCATGTTTGAGGTCATAATTTCATTTGAATAGCTGTATTTCAAACAAGGTTAATCTAATATTCACAGTAACTCTAATTTATAAGGCAGAATATTACTAAGTCCTGTATCAAAAGGAATGTGATACATGTTACTCACCCTTTAGCCTCAAGTGTGTGTGTGTGTGTGTGTGTGTGTGTGTGTGTGTGTGGTTTGGGGACCACATCTAGCAGTGCTTCAGGAGTTACTCCTGGTTCTATGCTCAGGAATCACTCCTGCTAGACTCAGGAGACTATATGGGGTGCTGGGGCTAGAACCGGGGTTGTTCACATGGAAGGCAAGAATCCCACCCACTGTACTCTGGCTCCCTGCAATACTATTCAAGTCAAAGGACCAAGCTCTTCTAAAATTAACCCTAAACTATATCACCCAAATTGATTCAAATTTGTGATCTAGCCATTGTCGAGTGATTTTGGTTTGGCCTTGGGGGCCACATCCCACAGTACTCAGGGACTATTCCCAGTTCAGTCGCTCCTGACAATGACCAAGGGACAATATGTAGTGCCAAGGATCCAGCCCAGGTCTCCTGCAAACAGAGCATTCAGCTAGCTCTCTGATCCTGTAACTACAGTTTTAGCTGACAAATCCTACACACAAAAACAGTGTGGCCAGGATTTTAAAAGTTTATCTCTTTCAAAAACACAGAAGGTAGGGCTGGAGAGATAGCACAGCGGGTAGGACGTTTGCCTTGCATGTGGCCGACCCGGGTTTGATTCCCAGCATCCCACATGGTCCCCTGAGCACTGCCAGGAGTAACTCCTGAATGCAGAGCCAGGAGTAGCCCCTGTGCATCACCGGGTGTGACCCAAAAAAAAAACAAAAAAAAAAAACAAAAAAAAAACAAAAAAAAAAACACAGAAGCAATAAGTAAAATAGGCATTTAGGACAATCCTTACAGAAGTGTGCACCCTTATCTGTGACCACAACTAATAATAAAAAAGAAGGAAAAAGCAGTCGGTATTCACAAGAATACCAGCCACTACCATGCTGAGACCACTCTCCGCACACATGAAGGTACCGGTAGAGGAACAAAGGCATGCAGGTCCCGGGACTGAGATCTCCAGCCTACTCGGATAGGGGCTGAGCATCCTCCACCCAGATCCTCTGAATTCCAGTAGGCGGGGGGTCATACCCACAATTGGCCCCCTGGCGCCATGTAATCCCATCAACGGCCAAGACTCAGAGACTATAAAACCCAGCTCCTGGACATCTTATTATCTCATTCCTACTTTAGACAAACTGGCAGGCTACTGAATGTAACCTGCCCACACGGCAGAGTCTGGCAAACTCCCCATGGCGTACCCAATATGCCAAATACCAGTAACAATGATGGGTCTCATTCTTCTAACTCTGAAAGAGTCTTGAATATGGCACTTTTTAAAAAAATCTCAGAGCTAGGATGAAGGATACGTTACTGGGGCCTGTTCGAAGCAATCGACGAATAACAGGATGGTCGTGATCGTGATCGTGTTTCACAAGAAATTGACAAACATTCAAACGCTGCAAAAGTGCTCATGGTTGGGGCCAGAAAAACAGTACAGTGGCTAAGGCACTTGTCCTACACTCGGCCAAGCTGGATTCCACCCTCAGCATCCCTTGCCAGGAGAGATTCCTGAGTACAGAGCCTTAAACATTGCAAACCAAAAACCAAAACAAACCAAAATTGCTCATGGTCTTACCTTAGAGCTGTTTCCAGAAATCAACTTTTTTCTGTCCATTCTCTTTCTCTCCAAACAATGCTATAGTAAATACTGTGCCTTTTGAGGGCATCTGTATCTCTAATTATAACTAAATTAAAATAGCAAAACTTTCTCTTGAGTTAAAGTTTGTGGCAATATTTAAAGGTAAAGAAACAGAAAAAGTAGAATGCCTCTATTAATTTAAACATTTTTATAACTTCATTGCCAATTAAAGCTTATAAAAATTTAAGACTTGTATACCAGAGCAATAGTACAGCCAATAAGGCATTTTCCTTGCACACAGACCACTCGGCCAACTTGGGTTCAATCCCTGGCTCCCTGAAGCAGAACAAGGAGTAAACCCTGAGTTGGTTCAAACAAAAAAAAAAATCCTCAAAGATAATTTATACAAAAAATTAAGACCCAAAAAGTTAAAAAAGGTTTATAAAAATTCAATCTTTTTTCTGAATTTAAAAAAAAATGTGTTTTTGTTTTGGCTCAAGGAAGCATTCGGTGCCAAAGATCAAACATGGGCCTCCTACATGCAAAACATGTGTTCAGCCCCTTGAGCGCTCTCTCTGCCCCTAAGAATGCTGTTCTTAACACAGTTTCTCATTTCTGAAGACATTCTTTAATAAATACAAAACTTTGAGACTTGACTCAGTCCTTTACGTAATAGTCTCACAAATCCCTCTTGGTGAAATGTAAAAGGAAACTATTATCTTTTCAAATTTAAAAGAAATCATTATGGGTCAGCGAGGGTGCCTTGCATATATATAGCTGATCCGGTCTCTAACCTTGGTACCACACATATTCCCTGAGCTCAGTCAGGAACAATGTCTGAGCACAGAGCCGGGTATGGCCCTAAAGACAAAATAAAACAAAACAAATATATATATATATATATGTGTGTGTGTGTGTGTGTGTGTGTGTGTGTATACAATACATGCATACATGCATACATATATAATTTATTAACTTCCCCATTCTCACAAACTTAAGGCTTGTTCTATTATTCTACTCCATTGTAGTTTCATATTAATAACTGAGAAACTAAAGTACAAATAGAACTTATTTTTCCAAATGTCAAAACTGACCATCCACATGAGACAGGCAAATCTAGATACTTAAAGTATATACCTTTTCTCTCTCTCCTTGTGTGTTCTGTGGTTTGCAAGAGAGGCATTGAGTGGCAATCATGTTTGGTCTATAGTCTACTTTCAGCATGCTTCTCCCATCCTGGGAGGATCCTCCCAACAACCTTTATTTGGTGCTCCCTTCTCTATCTGAGCTTCCTTTTCCCCTAGTATGTGTGGCTGGCCTCCAAGTCATGGAGCAAAATTCCTGGTACTAATCTCGGCCACTCCTGGGTGTTAGTCTCCCGTTTTGTTACTTTATGTTCCTCAGATGAATGCAATCTTTCTGTGTCTATCCTGCTCTTTCTGACTCATTTCGCTGCCACAGAGGCAGAGTTGGATGGGGGTGGAGGGGGGGGGGGGATACTGGGACCCGTGGTGGTGGAAAATGGGCACTGCTGGAGGGATGGGTACTTGATCATTGTATAACTGAAACCCAAGCACAAAAATTTGTAAGTCTAAAAAAAAAAAGTCATGTGACTTATATTGCTAATATATTGTTTAAAATTTTTGCATAAATGTGAAGTATATTATTGTGATTCCATTGCAAAATAAATAAATAAATAAAGTATATACCTTTATTATCAGTGTTCTTAGACCTTTGAACACTATCAGCCTTCGGCCTATTCTGTGACTCTGAAGGAGACTGAAGAAATCTCAGGGTTGAGTAAATCACTTCCTGTTCACTCATTTCTAGAGTAAGATGAGAAGTATATTTTGCATTAAAACCTTACCACAAGGCAATTTCAAAACAAGCTTAAGTATCATTCTGTAGAAACATACCAGCACTGGGCAATGTGACTGTGTGTGCCTGTGGCGATGTATTTATTAACACCTTTAAGTATCTGAAACATGTAGAAGAGAACAATTTGCATCAGAAATAGAAAATCTTTCAATATTTATCTAAATTATTAATGCTCAAAATTATGCCTGCCGTTTCGGTCCGCCCTTCACGCCCTACCGAGGCCACCAGTTGCCCCCCACTAGCGGCTCTCCAGCACGGCCACGATTCCAGAGCACAGAAACCAATTTCTTAACTATCTGACTTTCAGTAGAAATACTTCCAGGGTCAATAAGTAAAATAGCAGAAATCCAAAACCAACATTTAATTCTTGAACCCAGCTGTAGAAAGCAAATCACGTCACAATGCTTTTTCAGCATGTCTGATTTGGGGGGGCGGGGGGTAAACTCTAAGTAATAGTGGTGAATCTTTTATTGAAACAATGAATCTAATCAAAGCAGATAGAGTGTTAACTAGAATTCATCTGCCCCACAGGGACTGGGAGGGGTGGGGGGTGGGGTTTTATTGGGGTTCTTCATGGTAAAAAATAAGTATTGGTAAAGGGAAATGTGTTTGATATTTGCATGACTGAGACCTAAACCTGAAAGCTTTGTAACCTTTCCCACGGTGAATCAATCAATAAATTAATTAATTAATTAAAAATAAATAAATAAATAAAATACAGGAGAAAAAATTATGCCTGCTATGATTATTTAAAAAATAGGAGAAGGATATTTTTAAAATCTATCAATTGAAGGAGCTGGATTCCATTCATGAAACAGGTTAGCTCAAATACAGATATGAAAACCTGGCAAAATTGGGACCATTCTAAATAACTGAGACTTATTTAAAACAATACATTTTAAAAAAAAAGAAAAAAAACTAAAATTCTGGGACTGGAGCCATAGTACAGTTGGTAGAGCATTTGCCTTACACATGGTTGACCCGGGTTCGATTCCCAGCATCCCATATAGTCCCCTGAGCACCGCCAGGAGCAATTCCTAAGTGCATGAGCTAGGAGTAATTCCTGTGCATCACTGGGTGTGTCCATAAAAAGCAAAAAAAAAAAAAAACCCCTAAAATTCTAAGCTTTTGAAATTCTAAAAGTAAAAGTATACAACAGCTTAGCTTTTTAAAATTCTACCTGTTAACATCTACATATATTTTTTTTTCTTTTTGGGTCACACCCAACAATGCACAAGGGTTACTTCTGGCTCTGCACTCAGGAATTACTCCTGGCGGTGCTCAGGGGACCATGTGGGAAGCTGGGAATCGAACCTGGGTAGGCTGTGTGCAAGGCAAACGCCTTACCTGCTGTGCTATCACTCCAGCTCCTACAAATATTTTTTAATTCTTGTTTTATACACATACAACATATTCTACATACCATATGCAGGACTATTTGAGGATTCACATTACATAATGGTAGCATTCCAGATCCATTGTATTGTATAAGATATGCTGAATAAAAATCTCTTATATTGGAAACAAAACACAGTTATGTTAATTTTAAATAATCCCATATGTATTATAATTTAAAAGCAGCTTAATCCATTATGTCAGAAGTCTATACAAAAATTTTCACGTACTATAATTTTTTGAAATTTGCCCATGTGAAAACATAGTTTCTAAGTGATTCAACATATCACATCAGAGAATGAAAATATAAAAAAATAAATAAATATTAAAAGATATCTGGCTTCTTTTCTTTGCCAATGTATAAAATTGGCATCCCAGAAATGAAAAGATGGAAAATAAATCGCAAATATAAGTATGCTTTTTCCCATTTTTTTAATTTTATAAAGTGTTCTCAATTCATTCACATTCTCTGTAATGTCTTAAGAAAAATTAGTCTTTCCTATCAAAGTATCTAAGATAAAATAATATGCAAATATTAGGCCTAAATAAGAAGCCATTGTTTTCCCAATCTCTCTTCTCTTTCTTGCTGAAACAATGCAAAAATCATAGCACATTAAAAAAAACTGAATAAAAGAATTGATAAAAGAATTCTGACTAGTTTTAACATGCTTCAAAGTGAATGTGGTTCTAATACAATCAACAGAGAATGCTTTTCTCTCAATGACACATTCATGCCATCATTTGTAATAAAAATCCACATTTATAAAATTGTTTCTTTATAAGTAGGACTAATAGGCCACTCAGGATACAAAGAGTTGAAGAAACAAGTGCAAATGTTACCTAGGTCTGCGCCATCCACTGATGAAAATGAAGAAAGATGATCCAAAAATAAGGGAGAAGAAGGGGCTTTTCGCGAGCCTCTGGGGGTTCTAATATAGGAAGTGGAAGAAGTCTAAGATGTCCTCTGGTGTTGCCACACAAATGTTCTGCCCTTCCTCTGCTAACCAAAGTGAAAAAAGGAAATTGTATGGTAAAAGCTTACGTTAATGTAAAGATAGGGCGATGGATCGTGAGCCGTCTTCCTGCATGTCATCTAACCAATCATTTGCTATGCTGCGAAACAGATGTAAAGAGAATTTTGAGAACTGAAAAAAAACGCAACTGTGGACAGTAACAAAACCTTTTTTTAAAAATGAATCACAGTGAGATATAGAATTACAAAGTTATTTCTGAATGGGTTTCAGTCAATGTTCCAACACCTGCCCCTGCACCAGTGCACATTTCCCACCACCAATCACCAATGTCCCTAGTATCCCTCCCACCCACCACAGCCTCCTTTGTCTCTCTGTGTCTCTCTGTGTCTCTCTGTGTCTCTATCTCCATCTCAGCTCTCTCTCTCTCTCTCTCTCTCTCTCTCTCTCTCTCTCTCTCTCTCTCTCTCTCTCTCTTTCTCTCCTCCCTTTGGGGTATAATGTTTTGCAATACTGTTACTGAAAGGTTATCATGTATCTCCTTTCAGCACTCAGTCTTGTCCAAGATGCACATTTCCAACCATCATTGTCATAGTGGTCCCTCTCTGTCCTAACTGCCTCTTTCTCCCTACTTGTGACAAGCTACTGACGGTGGGCCAGTCATCCTGGGCTTTGAGTATTAGTCTCATACTAGAACAAAAACTATTTTAACAAAAACTAGCCTACTTAAAAGAATCTCTAGTAAAAACAAATGAGCAAATGTGTGTATGTATGTATACATATACACAAAATATATGAAGACAAAATTCTTCAACTGCTAAGTAGCCTAACAGAAACTTCCTTTTCTGTTACTATTTGAGGGAGAAATATTTTCTTATCCATGTTTATAGCAGATAGATGTATTTTAGGTTTATCTTTAAGCACCCATAATTTCACTGTATAAAAATGTGGATGTTATATTGATCCTTGTCTTATATTCATATATTAGACTTTCAATCAAAGTAGACATCATTCTTTACACAATGTTTTTTGATGCACTAATTCTTTTGTTTGGGGCAGCAGAAGGCCACCCATGCAGTGCTCAGGGAACCTGAGCACTATTCACCCAACTGGGCTGACAATTTAGTGCTCGGGCCTGAGGATACACTTATTCACTGTAGTGCCCAGGAGCCTTCAGGACCACACTCCATGTTCAGGAGGCCACATGATGTCAGGGATCAAATGGAGTTGGGCATGCAAGGCACACACCCTAACCCCCTGGCCCTAATGCATCTTTCTCAATTGTTTCCTTTAAAAATACTCATCTTGGGACTGGAGTGATATACCACAGCGTGTAGGGCATTTGCCTTGCACGTGGCCAACTCCCAGCATCCCATATGGTCCCCCAAGTACCCCCAGGAGTAATTCCTGAGTGCAGAGCCGGGAGTAACCTGTGTGTATCGCCTAGTGCGACCCAAAAAGCAAAATAAATAAATGAATGAATAAAAATATTCATCTACAATGTGAGTTTTTTAAAGCATGAATATTCACAAGGTTTATACCCTAACCTAATTAGACAGCTCCTACTGCTAGATATTTATGTTGCTTCCACCTTTTGCTACTGTAAAAATTGTCTGGCTAGTGTTTTTAAACATTTTCTTATGGGAAAAATTTACAATTAATTTATGGAGTGAAGGGATAAATAGAAAAACTAAGAACTTTGATACACATCAGCAAAGACTTTCCATTAGTGTTCTCCTCGTTTTTTGTAGCTCATATCAGCTCATCAGTTGTCCGTGAAAAAATGCTCACATTAAAGAAGATATACTAGGGCCAGAGCAAGAGTACAGTGGGTAGGGCATTAGCCTTGCACACAGTTGACCAGTTTCAATCCGTGGGACTTCATGTGGTCCCCCAATCACCACCAGGAGTGATCCCTGAGCAGAGTCAAGGAACACGCCTTGAGCACTGCTGGGTGAGAATAAAAATTAACCCCCCACCCCTCAAAAAATAAAAATAAATCTATTATTCCTCTCTTTGAGTGTTGCCCACAAATCTCATTTTATGGAGACCTAGAACCTTCTAAATTTATTTCTATAATTCTGCTTTTATAAATGAAATCCCAATAGACAATAACCATCTTTCACAGATGTTTTACGCGATCACTTCCAATCTTCCAATGTATAGTCATTGAAGTCAATTTCAATTGTTTCAAACCAGGGGAGAGTTTCCATGAGACAACGGAAGAAAACTTTGAAGGTTCTCGATCTCTGTTTTCCAAATTCACTGATATGATGGGGCTCAAGTTCTATACATCTCTTACTCTCATATTCACCACAATAAATATTACTGAATTTCCTAGCTATAAAAATTGGTATAATAACCCCCAAATCCTTCATGGTTGACTTCATCACATGTTCAAAGCGAATATCACTCAATTCATAGACATGGAAGAATTTATTTTCACTAGATAAAATTTCTTAGCCATAAAATTGTATGAATATATTTTCACCTCTGTCTCTACCCATGGTTTTAAAGAAATATTAGTATTTATAATAATAATATAATTATTATTATATTATATTAATTCTTATACTATTA